AATGTTTACTAATTTCTCTTAAACAGTAATTACTGTATAAATAAACACAATGTAAAATGTTTATATATATAATTTGTTTATAGCTTGTAGATGGTGTTAGAGGTTCCTAAGAAACAGGGGAATATTCTTAAAGATTTTAAAGTTCACTTTTCAAAGACATTTTCAACAAATTGTTTTATGATGACAGAACTATTTTTAAGCAATCAGGTTTGTGAAAATATATCTTTCTTTTCAGGATATACTCCAAAAGAAATTATTCAAAATATTCTTAGTTTTGAGGAAAATATATATATGTATGCTAAGGAGTATTACAGTGCAAATGAAAGTAAATACTGATGATCAAAATGTAATTTTGATGTTATCATGGAACTATTGTATACATAAAGTTAACTTAATGCTTCTGATAATAGAAATAAGTGTATTTCTAAAATTACATACTGCTTGTGGCAATTAAACTGGAGTTCAGCACTGGAGCCTATGTTCCATTTTGACATGGGATGGATTTGACCTTTTATAAACATATTACACAGTACATAAATGAGACATGCTCTTCCTGTTTGTGCTGTTTAGATCTACACTGACAATAAATATTTTTCCTCAAACATTCAATGATGTTAAACTAAATTCAACTATAGATTAGACCTACTGATAACATTCTACCTAAAGCCAATGATAATAATTTTTGATAACTTTGAAGCTCGAACACCTCTACAACAGAAAAATTAAATAATATAGTTTAAACGTATTCCAGTTCGATAACCTTTTTTGTTACAGAAACTCGGATTATGATGATAATATTTTGGGTAAATGAAGTAAACTCTTTCATCAATATTCTACATGTATCACAGAACTGTTATTTTTGAAGTGAATCCCATATTCTCTATCTTCCATTTACTTTTTCTCAGTTGTTCCGAAGTAATAATTGATTGTAGACTCAAGGTCACTACAAGTTCTGCGAATACTAAGAACATGACAAAAAGATGAAAGTTACTTAGCACTAGCATAAAACTCTTTTGACAAATACCAAGGTAATGGCTAGTAATAATGAAAGTGGTTTCTGTAAAAAAATTTACAATAAAAATAGATGATATAAATTGCACCAGTGATAATATAAAGTGGAAGAACACTATTTATGCCCATGTTAAAGAAAAATCATAAACATTAAATTTTTCTGTATTTTCATTTCAGTAACAAGATTTTCCCAGGAAATTATAGACCAGTTAGTCTTACTTCTTTAGTACCTTAATAGGAAAAGTTCCAGAATCTGATAAAAGTAGTTTCACAAAATTGCTAAAACCATCAAAGCTGTGATGATCTGTTTCAATTTGTAGTGAATTGTAGTACTAGTTGTAGTTATCTAGATTATGAGTATGATATAAAACAAATTTATACATTATGAATACACAACAGAAATAGTTACAAATTAGTAAAATGTACCTTACACCAAGATCTGAAACCACTGACAGACTGAATTATACTAAATCAATAAGTTATTTTGAAAAATTCAAAACAGAACACTAAGTAAAAAATGATAATATAGACCTTTTACTTAAACCTGTGCCCGTTTCTGAATTTTGAAGTGTTTAGGAACAGGGTAATCACTTCGAACTGCAAAATGATACAATATAATCTTATCCAATCAATAAAATAAGCTACAATTTCATTAAACTTTAAAGTATAATTTACAAAGTGCCAAACTACAATTACAACACTAATTTCAAACTGTTGAAAAATAAATGCACAAGAATATTGAAAAATAATTCTAAAATATTATTACCAGTTAAAATATTTATTTTGAACGTTATCGAGTTATTATTACTATTATTTCGGATTAAAATTTAAGCAAGCTTGTTACTGTGTTAATTTTAATGTTACAACTTAACCTAAGTTACTTTAAATTAAAATTAAACTTGTAGTTGTACCTTTAGTGACTTAGTCATGCTCACACTCACGGTACACAAACATACACTATTAGTATTAATAATAAAACTTACGAAAATAAACCCTGTACTCAAGAGAATTTGGGCAGCCTCTTTCAACAGTTGAGTAGGACATCTTCTGCTGGTGAAGATAATTCTGACGGTTTGTGTCTATCTGTAAAATAGAACAAAATCGAGATAAACTTAAGGAGCTTATTCTTTTGCTCCGTCTAAAAAACGTGCACGTCGAACGCAAAGAGAACATATTTTTACGGTGGCATGGAACTAACCTTACTATCAAGTGCTGCCACCTAAACATATACCCAACGTAACTTAATTAAATATTTATTTGATCACAAAAATTAACAATATTATTATAAAAGGATATTAAAAATAAAAATCACAGTTCAATATAGCTAGGTCTAGTTAATGTTAGAAAATTAAATATATTTCTAAAAGATCTGGAACATATAAATGTCCAAATGGAAGCAATTGGGCACTATGATTTTTTTGACAGTTATTATATAAAAAAAGGATGTGTGTGTTTTTTGAGATACGAATGTTCGAAAATTTCCATATGATGTCAACAAACAATTTTTCCAGTTTGAAAAGGTGTGAGAAAATTGCTGAAGTAGTTGATTATATAAAGTTGAAAATATTACGATATTTCACCGATATAAAAGCTTACTTTGGTGCCAAATTTTAATGACGTGAAATGTAGTAATTCTTCCAACTTCCAAATTAGTTCTCCCAATAGTAAGTTTACGAACTTACAACGCTACAATTAGGGGTTCCATTCTTTGTGGTGGACAGGAAGCAGATAGCCCATTGTGTAGCTTTGCGCTAAAACAAGGATTTGGTTTATTTGGAAGTTCGCGCAAAGCTATCTGCGCTAGCCGTTCCTAATTTATCAAGGAAAGACTAGAGGGAAGGCAGCTAGTAATCACCATCCACCGCCAACTCTCGGGGCTACTCTTTTATCAACGAATAGTGGGATTGACCTTCACATTATAACACACACACGGCTGAATGGGCGAGCATATTTGATGGGACTGGGATTCGAACCCGCGACCCGCAGATTGTGAGTCGAGCTTGTCTTTTCAGGCCGCGCTAAAACCAAACAACCAAAAAAGTGATATAATCGTAAAAACCTTCAGTTACATAAAGAAGTAATTATTCCTTTGTTGAATACTCGTAATCATGACTTATTAAAGCTCGGATACTTACTATTATCCAGCGGATAACTTTATTAACTTAACATGATATAAAGAACGAGAACGAAAAACTCAAATTAAAGAACATTTTTCGTTTCCAAACAAAATGTCAAGGATAAAAATCAAGCATTATTTCTTTTGTTCACGTACGTAGTGGTCTTTCTGGGCAGATCTTTAATACTACAAGATGGAGTTGTGAAAGGTCATGGCCCTTTTCGTTAAAATGTTGAGTTACAGAAGGATTAGTGCTGCCTTTAATTACGACAATATTTTCTGAATCACTCACAGAATTTGAGTCCAGTCTCACCAATAACTCGCAACAAAGGTTATATATTATATAGTAAATGATTAACTCTGTTACATAAGTAAAAGATTAATCTTTTGGTCTAACTATAAGGTAATCACAAATTAAACGACGTACGTGATCAACAATAAGGATTTCATCTATGTAACATCAAACCTTCATGAGTGTTATATGTCTTTTATTACCTAACTTAGTTAAGTTATGAATATAGATAACTACAGATGGTTAGTGAAAATAGTCTTACTTTTGTTTACATATTCAAAATTTGACTGTTATACTAAAATTCCTACAGCAACTATAGTTATGGTTACAAAGTCCGAAAAATTTGTAGCATTTGTTAAAGACTGCTATTCTTTGCTGGTCGAACTAGGAGATATTAGGGTTTTTAGGTACGTTGATTGACCTTTCGGGTAGTAACCGCAAATAACAGGAAGAACGGCAAGGATGTGTATTACAGAACAAAAGCTTAAACTTTGACTTGAGCTAGTTAGACAAAAAAGACTAAATACAGTGTCAAACAAAAGTAAAATCAATCAATCAAAAAAAGAATGGTGCAAAGAACATCAGACAAGGCTTCTTAATTTTATAAAAAGAATTAGGAATTTTTTATTTGTTCTCGAGATATCTTTCAACGTAATCTGTGCTTCTGGCGCTGTATTCTATTTTAGGTTGAAAGAGAGTATGACATTATATACATAAAAAACAACAACATCGTTCTTCTCAGAGAACAGGCGCTAAACACGCTGTTGATCATTTCATTGGTGAAAATAAGAAGGGGAAGCTTTTAAACGTTTCCAAACAAGTCCAAAAATATTCAAATTATTCGCATTTCCTGACCGTGTGTAAGTAGCATACAAAATAAGGTCAATACTGTACAGGATGAATGTCTTGTATGTGAAAATTCACAGATGATATAAAATTACAGGTATATGAAAAATGTTAAACATTTAGGGAAACTGCAGAGTGTGTCTTTCTAAGCTAAGGCAGAAAGAAATTACGATACCATTATAAGTACAATATCCCAGTCCCTGTTTTCAGACCTTCAAATGTCTGGGGGAGTAATAATAAATGTTAAGACCAATATTATGTTACATAAATAAAAAATAATGAAATGTTAATAGAAGAAATTTTGAGCATATATTTAAGAAACTAGTAGCTATTTATAAATCACAAAGTCTTACAATATATAGACACTTAAACAAATTAGAAAGTGTAAAATCAGATAATAAAATTAAAAATCTGATTTATGTTGTTGATATAAAGATATAATTTGTTAGATAAAACAAATTATGTTAATGAATATATGGACTTAGTGATTGTGTAAAGAGGTAAATCGCTCAATGTAATATTTAGTTCATGTATTTGTCAGACAAATTAAAAAACAATATTCATATACAGCAATTATAAAAAACAATAATAGATAGCATTAAAAGTAAACATTGATGGAGAAACCAAAAAATAATATAGATAGATAAATATTTTATGAAAAATTAATTATCAAAGAAAATTTAAGTAAAATCATATAGGAAAATATAGATTTATACAAGTATTAATAATACATATGAAATATTGATTAAAGAAAAAAACACTCAAGTCAATATATAAGACGTCAAACCAATTTAAGAAACCATGGATCACTAATGAAATAGCAGAGTTAGTAAAAACTAGAGATATAAAGTGCAATAAATATCCCTTTAATGAATATTATAAAGATAGTTTAAAAGGTTATAAAAACAAATATTTCTTCCTCAATCAGAGGCGCTTCAGTGGCAGAGATTGGAGGTAAAAAATTCGAAATTAATCTCACTTTGCTGAAATATATATATATATATATATATATAAGATGTAGCATGCGATGAGGTACGACGATCACAACTAACAGTTTACAAATCGAACAAAAATTGATCGAGTTATGATTGGCTACGACAGCAGCAGAAACCTCATAGTTAATGATAGTACATCTTATTGTATAATCGACGGGTTCTTTACGTGAGCCTTGTTATTTGCCAGTCGTTTAATCTGTTCTTCAGACCAGAATCAAATAGATCTTTAGCAACTAGCTCCAAGCCCCAATGACTGTGACTAGAACTTTGCTACTCTTCGGCATGTCATCATCAGTCATCATTATTCCCTCGATTACCTGCATGTGCAAGGTTCCGAGATGTTCAACTTACAACCTGTACAGTCACTTGGATGCGATGATGATGGACTTTTTGACAGCCCCCAATGAGGCAAATCCATCTATAAAGCCCAAAGATGTTGGTTGATTCGTTTGTTGTTAAGCGCAAAGCATCACAATATGGCATTCGTTTAGCGTTGTAAGCACACAGACTTACTACTGAGCCACTAGGGGGCCAGTCAGATGTTCTGGCGGCACTTGAAAATAGGTATGGTACTGACAAGAACAGTAGTGACAGTAGTAGTAGCTTTCCACCAGAGCAAAAGGTCAAGAACAAGGTTTCCCAACTAAAACAGACAATGAAGAAAGGCCGTATAATTTGATTTGAGAATTAAAAAATAAGATAATAGACTTGTGTGAGTGATTATTGAATGGTAAGGTGGTACAATCACTCTGAATTCCCATTTTTCTATGACTGTTCATTACCATAATGTTGATTACATATGTGTATTCATTAGATCCTAGTCTCTCCAACGGTGTATGCAACAGATCCAAGAAGCAGTTAGCAAAATTTCTTGTTCCTTGCCATGCCACCTAAAAATACTACTTGACTCTGGTTCAGGAAGAGATCCTGTGTTAATTAAAGCTCAGAATATGAGAAATTAATACTATAAGAACGAATTTTTAAAATGTGAAAGGATGAAAAACAATGAAATTTGTTAATAAGCTAACTGATAAAGAAAATAATGAAATATTACCTGATTGTGCAGATGGTTACTGAGGAAGTGAAAACTGAGTAATGAGAAATTTAGCAAATAAATTTAATAACTTAATGAATAAAGTAGATTTAAAAAATAAATTGATAATGAACATTGTTGAACATTTAATATAAATATAAAATACTTTCACGTTTCATTTCCTACATCTAATGAGGAAATTAAAACTATAATTATGTTTGTTTTTGAATTTCGCACAAAGCTACACGAGGGCTATCTGTCCCTAATTTAGCAGTGTAAGACTAGACGGAAGGCAGCTAGTCATCACCACCCACTACCCACTGCCAACTCTTGGGCTACTCTTTTACCAACGAATAGTGGGATTGACCGTCACATTATAACGCTCCCACGGCTGAAAGGGCTAGCATGTTTGGTGTGACGGGGATTCGAACCCGCGACCCTCAGATTGCGGGTCGAGCGCCCTAACCACCTGGCCATGCCGGGCCCTATAATTATGAGTCTAACAAATCGGAAAACACCAGGGGATGATCGAATTTCAGTAAGAATACTTAAAGAATGGATAAATTATATAATAAAATCATGAGTATATATTTATATTCTATCTATTACGACAAGAACTTTAACAAAAACTAAATAAAGCTATAGTAATTCTAATTTCCAAAAAAGTGACAAGAATAATTATGTAAATTATATACGTATTTTATTGTTATCAGTATTTTCTAAAATATTAGAAAAATAGTGAAAGGCAGGTTTGCTAAATTTTTAAATAAATACAAAATGTTTTCACTAAACATCAGAATGGATTTAGAGAAGGGTTAAATACTGAAGAGACTGCATTAACCTCCAGACAAAATATATATTAATCCTTAGATAATGTTGTTGTTTGTAATTAAGCACAAA